AGCGGGGAACGCTCGTCTCCAGGAGGAAGGCGAGGCGATTCGCAGGCAGGATGCTGGCGACATCGTGACGGAATCAAGGGAGGTGAAGGAAAGTACCAAGGGCGAGGAGTCAGACTTGAAGCACGGACGCTTGTTCACCAAGGCAGAGCTGTATCTGTTGGAACGCGGTGAGTACAAGTTAGCGGCTGCTGAACCCGAGGAGTACGAGAAGGAGCTGGAGGAACGCTTGTTACCCCTTGACGAAGTGGAATTAAAGAGGCGTATGGAGAAGAACGCCAAGGATCAAAAAGATCTCAGTATGCAAGAACTGAGTAATAAGTTGAACTTGCCGGTCGACGTGCTGGAACGGACAAGAGAGGTGGGTTCCTGAGCCCTCTCGAAACCTGAATTCTGGCTGGATTGGTACGAAGAGAAGCTGGCCACGGTAGGTGAGGCCAAGCGTGCGAACCGCGCTTTCAAAGGAAGCGGAGAGTCGCGAGCGTCCAGCTCGGTGGCGTCAAATCCGGGCGTTCTCAACACCATACCGGAGGGGTAGTAGAGTCTGCGTTACTTGCTACTCGAGGTAAGGATGGTGACGGATTAGGAGAACAGGACCAGGAACGGGGCGTCATGGCGATGCGTGAGGACGAAGTGAACGCTTCGGGGAAAGATACGACGGCGATGGAGCCTGAGGTCGTGCGGAACGTGTGCGTTGGACTCGAAGATGAGGATCTCGGAGTACGAAATAAATCGGAACTGCAGGTGGACACGGATGTGCCGCTCCAGTGACGTTCGACTGCAAGAAAAGGAGTATACGTGACGTCCGAGCAGGTGATCGCCTACTGCAAGACCGAGTTCATCCACAATCAGATAATGATGACTGAGCTTTCGCAGAGCAACGGCGAGCTGGGCATGCGCACCCGCTACCTCGAGAAGGCGGTACGAAGTAGTATAACTGCAACTGCAACCTAGACGTGTCACTAAGTACAGGAGAAGAAGCAGCACCAGTTAGTTTATAGCAGGAAGACGATCTATGATACAGTCATGAACTAACTGTATTTACAGCTATGTATGACTGCGTGTGTGCGCCTCTATTTCCAGTGTTCGATCACGAACCTTTGTAGTGGTGGGTGCAAACTCACCATTGCGCCACACCAAGTGGATAATCTGGGAGCAGGTAAGCCCCGGGTTTGACTGGTGGTTCCGGATCTAGTTTCACATGAAGTAGAGTCCACGATGTGTGGTAGAGCACTTCGGACAGTACCACGTTGTTGTCCCAGGCCGCTTCCAGCTTTCTTGGCGGATCAGCAGTGCACCCACTCTACACTGTCGCTGCCGCAATCTTTCCACCTCGTTATTGACTCTCGTGTCTGTAACCTGCACCAGAGCGTGCTCTTGAGACACCACCAGCTCGACGCCTCGCTCTATAGGTGTCACCAACATTTCTGCAGACTGTCGCGCCGTCGACGAACTAAGTAAGCCTTGCTGGCCGTAATAAGAGCTTCGTGCAACAAAGCAAGAAAGTCATAGTGCGACAGCTTCTTCTTCTTTCTTCGTTCGCCAACACAGCCGTGAATAATGAAGGCATTAACGATAGCTATATCAACTAGTCCCAGAAATAGAG